CAGGCGGATCTCTGTGAGTTCGAGGCCAGCCTGGTCTACAGAGTGAGATCCAGGACAGGCGCAAAGCTACACAGAGAAACCCTGTCTCGAAAAACCAAAAAAAAAAAAAAAAAAACTGATCTTGCTATTAATGACTATCCTTTTTCTGTCATGGATTTTCTAATCTTGTTTTTTATCTCTGTTATGTTGAATAAATATAATATTTCAGTCAATATTGGTGACTTCTCAGCCTCTTCTGTTGCCTAAAAGATCATTCAGCTGAGTGTAAGATCACCAAACACCAATGTCCCTAAGAACTCCTTTGTTTACATACTTCTTCAAAATTAGCATTGACTAGCAGAAGCCTCAATGCCTTTATAATGCTTTTTGGATATCTGAATGAATGTGCTTTAATTTCCTTTTTATTATAATCTGATCATTTGATGCAACTGATTCTAGATGTGAGTTTTCTTGTCAGTAATTTTCACAGCACTTGGGATACCCCTCAGACTCAGCACATCTTTCTTCCATTGAGAAACCTTTTCAATTCTACATTCAAGTGTCTTGTTCAACAACTTCAGCTCTCTATAGATTCTATCTCTATTTTTCATCTGCAGCTTTTAATTCCTGTCATTGAGTTGATCAGTCCTTTTGTCTCTATATTTTCCAACAACCTCCTAAATTTTAACCCAAATGCCTTTTATTCATCTTTTTCAGTCAATGCTAATTTGATTTCCATCACATTGAATTCAAGTTATGAGCACTTTCATCTGGGATTTTAAATATTTTCCTTTGCATCATTTAGCTCCCTTTATATCTCAGGCTGATCTTCTCTTCTGCAAAATTCCATGTTTGCTACTTATTGAGAAAAATGATAACTTATTGTTAGAATTGTATTTGCATATAAAAATAGCAGCACAGGTTTCCATTAGGAATCTGAGAAACACTGTAAAGCAGTGGTTCTCACCCTGTGTAACCCCCTTTGACAAACCTCTGTCTCCAAAAATATTTACATTATTATTCATAACAGTAGCAAAATTACAATTATAAAGTAGCTGTGAAAATAATTTTATGGTTGGGGATCACTACAACATGAGGAACTGTATTAAAGGGTTGCAGCATTAGGAAATTTGAGAACTACTAGTATAAAGGAACTTGTTCAGAGCAACTCAGTTCACAGAGAAGTAATCAATAAAGTTTGTAGCACAAATCTTAGAAAGCCTTATTAATAAAAACAAACCTGGAGCCAGGTATTAGGGTGAATGCTGAAAGATCAGAGAAGCAGAACAAGCCACAGCTACCTCACCTTGCCAATTCCTCAGCTGATCCTGTTTCCTCAAACTGGAAGCCTTTGTGTCCTCATACAAATGGGTCTCAGCCGAACTGCTGCTCAAAAGCCTAAAAGCTTAACCAGTCTAGTTCCTGGTCCTCATGACTTATAAACCTTTCTGCTTCCTGCTATTAAAGGAGTGTGTCACCATGCCTGGCTGTTTCCAGTGTGGCTTTGAACTCACAGAGATCCAGATGAATCTCTACCTCCAAAATGCTAGGATTAAAGGTGTGTGTGCCACCATTTTCTGGCCTCTATGTCTATCTAACAGCTCTTCTGTTCTCTGACCCCAGATAAGTTTATTAGTGTTCATAATATATTGAGGAACACAATATCACCACAAAAGTTGATTGACTATCTAGACTAAAGTTAGAGGTTGATATCATCCTAGTAATACTGGCTTTTCCAAGTCTAACCTTTATCCAGGCTCTCAAGATTAATCCTTGAGGAAAGCTGTCACTATATAGCCCAAGTTGTGTCCAAACTCTTAATTCTCCTGCCTCAGCTCCAGAGTGCTGAGATCACATATCAGTTCTTCTACATCCAACTATATAAAAGTTAATCATTTTAACTAACAGGTCTGCCTTGAGAATCACGAGCTTAATCACTGTCCACAGTATCAATTGGACACAGGTGGAATGTCTTAAGTCAGTATTTAAATGTAGACGGACTCTATCAAAAGTAATATTTGCAATATAGAAAAGCCATGGTAGGGCTGGAGAGATGTTTCCATGGTTGAGAGTACTTGTTGCTATCTACTGAAGACCCAGGTTCAGTTTCCACCATCTATATTAAGCCACTCAACATTGCCTGTAACTCCAGTTTCGGGGAATCTAAGACCCTTTTCTGGCCTACTGAGACTCCTACATGGACACGAAGCACATAACTCCTGCAGGTACACAATAATAATAAATAAGTAATACATTTTTTAAAGAAAAAAGCCATACTATGACTTTGGCTTAATTCACTCTGGGTTCAGACTCTTTGCATAACACAAATTATCTCGCATACTACTGCTTTGCTTGAATTGAGGGTTCTTCTCTTGCTTATTTCTCTAACATCAAGAACCAGTGAAAACTGAGAATCAATAACCCTCTATGTACATGACTTCTAGAAGCTTCCTCATCTCTGTTCTTACCTGTAGCACTTCCCTTGAGGGAGTTCTATGTTCAAAGATGAAGGACCAAATTCATCCAGGCTTGTATCTTATATCTTTAGATTATTGCACAGTAAATAATCAACCAAGAGGAAGGAAGAAGTGGGGGAGAGAATGGAGGAGCCTTGTAACTAAGGATCTATTCCCTTACAATGGAGTGTTTGGGGGGTGTCAGTTTTTTTGATTTATGGCAAACAAAAAGGACTCTTCAAGTGAAGTCCAGCCAGCACCCCTCTAGTCCTTTTTTCTTGGCCCCCATCTTGTTCTTTCTTCTCTCCTTACACAATCTGAACAAGAACCTTGATACATCAGCTTGCTATAAATCCACACCCATGACATCTGATAATCTTCAATGCCTCGTCACCGTGGCAGGCTGCTAGCAGTAATCATATCAAGTTGGCTTAGAAAGAAAACCTTCTATCCTTGGTGTTTTATCATATTCATTTTCTAGCCACTGGGTCTCACCCTTCTCTTTGGTTATGAATTTTCTTTCCTCGTTTTTAAAACCAATCACCCTCCCTCACTGCAAGACTCCAGTGTAATGGAGTTAACTGTATGGCCAGTGTGTTCATGGGCCATACTGTTTCAGCTTCTGCTAACCTGCCTCTCCAGTTACTCTCCACCCTTCCTTTTCACCCCAGGAAGCTCCTTTATCCTTCTATTTTATTCTGAGTTTTGTTAATCAGGAGCATACATAGGACACTCAAGGGAGAAAGGAATGAGGCCAGGATGTCTATTATCCTGTTCCTCCATGCAGGGCACCTGCCGGATATTTGTCTCTCTTATTCAGAGAATATAACCCCCTTAGCCTCCTCTCCTTCATTCTAGTTCCAGGAACTTCCTCCTCAGAGTTCCCTAGCTCCCTGGATGCTGAAATCTACCACTGGATTGCCTCCCACCCCATTTATGCCTTTGAAAATGCTTCCACTGCTAGGGGACTAAATTATCTAATTCGCAACGTCTTACAGCATCAGGAACCCATTTACATTACCTCATCGAACCCTTCCTGCACCATTGCCCCTGGTATGTCACAGTTTTTAATGAATTCAAACAGTCCATCCAGGAGTAGGGGTGGGGGGCTCACCAGACTCAGAAATTAAACAAACTTCACACATCTAGAAAGACCAAAATTTAAGAAGACTCAAGAAGGCCTCTGTCCAAGGTACAGAAGCAGTAAATCTGATGGAGAAGGAAAGGCTGTCCAGGCAATCACCCAGAGGAGACTCTCCAACCTGATGAGCTGTCTGAAAGTCATGCAGGGAACTCCAGGGTTGCAGTTTTTATGAGTCAGCATCCATGTTGGGGTGCTCTTACATGATGCAGATGCTTTGGGGTCTGCTTGCTTCTATAAGAATCCTCACCTCTACTCCTGTTAGTAACCTCAATAAACTCCAGTTCCCCAAGTTGGACTTTAGTGTAGTACATACTCGGGTCCATCATGGATTCCCTGTCTGTGATGAATAGAGATATGTGTGTCCTGTCTCCCCAGGAAAAGTCTCACATAAGAGGTTCCAGGCACTATTCCCATTTGAAGTAGTATTTGCAATGTGTCAACCTATAATATGCCACCAACCAAAATGGAAGCATTATTACAGCTGTCATTTGTCAGCTAGCGATCATGTTTAATCTTTTTACATGGGAGCTTTGGTAGTCCTCAAAATGTGTATTTTGGATAAATTATCTTGTGCTTATTTTAGAAGGCAGAACCTGGCTCTAGAGGTTAAGTCACTGATTTGCACTCATGTATGATGTACCTGGAGGGACATACAGCTTCCGGTTTCAGGCTCAGGGCTCCCATCCTTCCATGGTGCATTGAAGGTTGTGATTACAAAAAACATTGCAAATGCCTTATGTAAATGCAGCTTACTTGGCTTGCATGCACCACTTATTTATGCATCAAGAATAAAGCGAATTTCATGTAATTTTATCTGTTTTTCTCTGCTCAGCACATGTTTTACCAGGTGACAGCCCATACTTCCCTTTTCAGGAGGCTTTAGTCAGCTTGTACTCCCAAAGTGCATAATTTACTCTACTTCAACTAATTTCAGACTGATAAAATTTTTGCCTTATTTATGGTATATACATGTACAAGAGGTTGGGAATAGCCCCATAGATAACATGCATGCCTAATAAGCATTGGGGCCTGAGTTTATCCCGGGTACCCTTGGAAAAGCTTGGCAGATATGGAAGCCTTCCTGTAATCCCAGTGCTCAGAAGGCAACAAAGGCTCTGTAGGGCAAGCTAGACCAGTGAATTGACAAGCTCTGAGTTCAGCGAGAGACCCTGTCTCAGTAAATGAAATGGAGCTCAATCAAGGAGAACAGCTGTCGTCAACCTCTGGCCTGTCTGCGTGCTTATATTCTTGCATAATACCTTTGGCATGTTGATTGACATTCTGAATGCAAGATGCATTGGAAAAAGTGAATAAAATACCATTTTGTTGCTGGTGTACTGAATTTCATTTCACAACTTGTTGATTCCTTTCCGTGTTGATGGACTTAGGGGTTGAAGGAAGGGTTTAAGTATGTGGCTTACCTTCTAAAGGATACAGTCCACCACAGTGGGGAAGTCACAGTAGCAGAAGCAGGAGACACCTGGTCCCATTGAGCCCACAGTCAGGAAGCAGAGCCTGCACAAAAGGTAAGGCAGTGCCATCAAACCTCAAGGCCCTCTTCTAGAGACACTTCCTCAAGCTAAGCCCCAAACAGCACCACCAGCTTGGGACCAGGTGTTCGAACATAGGAGCCTCGGGGGGGACACTTCACATTCAAAACACCTCAGGTATGAAATAACTATGTCTCTTTACACAATGCTTATCTGTCAGTGGGATTGGTAAATGATCAAACACATGCACATTAACACTGCCAAGCTAATTTCCACAGAACAGATACAAGTTTATGAGTTGTACAAATCCCCCCTGTCCCACAGCCTCACCAACCCTTGGAAGATTTAGTTGGTGTTAATTTTAGATATTATGGTGGGTGTATCAGTGGCATTCCATGGTGAATTTAATTCTCATTTCCCTAACTGCAAGCAAGGCTGGGCACTTCTCCTCACTGATCTGTAACTATTATGGGTGCATTTTAATATATACAATCAAAGCCTCTTCTTAGGCTGGGCATCATCTTGAAAAGTATCTCTGAAATGTTATGAAGTTGAATTTATTGATTTCTGTATACTGCTGGTGCCTTTGTCATCCTGTCTTAAAATTCCTCAATATGCCTCCACTAATCATGGACTTTCTTGGGCATTGTTTTATAGGGGCTTTTCACAGGTGTGTCTTCTACTAACCTGCACTGATTTTTATGTACAGTTGGAAATATGGAATCTAATACCCAAAACAAAGTAAATGACAGCTCATCTTGCTAGAACAGTATAAGGATATTTAAAGTGTCAACATTTTACTCATCTCCCAATCTGTGTCTCCTCTTGATTCCTGGGAGTTTTCATGTACTGTGTTTAGTGTACATGCTTCTCCATGTGTCCACTTCTTGCATCAGGGTTAGCATAAAATAGAGAATCTTCCCTGGACTTGGAGTCTTCATTTCTGAAGGTTTCCATGCCAAGGCTCTTTTCTTGTTAATCAGTCTTTTGTTGTGGGATTGCCATCCTTGAGCCTTACACTAGATGATCAACCTCTACATTGTCCACCTTTCTGTAAACCTTGGTTCCAAACAAGCGGTCCTCACAACCGTGTTCTTAGGTTCAATCTTTGATTGAATGGTTCAGAGAAGTCCTTTTCTTACATTTTCCTCCCCTTCTCTCTCTGTCTCTGTCTCTGTCTCTGTCTCTGTCTCTGTCTCTGTCTCTCTCTCTCTCTCTCTCTCTCTCTCTCTCTCTCTCTCTCTCTCTCTGTCACATGAAGACCAATGTCAGTAATAACCAGGTGGAAGAGATACATAGAAGGGTGTGGCTTCCATGTCCTATAAGAATACCACCCTCCCAGTGCGCTGTTCCACATACTCAGTAACATAGAAATGCCCTAAACTCCATCCTGTGGGGGTATATGGAGCCTTTATCATATAAAACTGTTGGTTAGAGGACCATCCGCCTATGATTATAACAACCATCAGCCTGGTGTGAAGGGCCTGAAAGGTCTAATCATGCTGTTCCTATGGCAACCAGCCTTCAGGATGTTCCTGAGGTTACAAAAGGGACTCCAGCCACCAGCCATCTCATTAGCGCCTCTAGTTGACAGATATTTCAAGAATCTCCTAAGCCTCATTGTGTTCCAATTTAAACCAATGTTGAGGTATTCAGATAGAGGAATGTATTCTAACTATGGCGTTTGAAGGTAAGCAATATAATTAGTATTAGACAAGGCCTCCAAGTGGAATGTCCCATGGGTGAATTCTGTTGACACTGTAAGAAAAGGGGAGGAGCAAGGAACTTATGTGCTACCTTGCATTGCCTTGGGATTCTGTCACCAAGAAATTCATAAGCCAAACATGACCTCATGCTTCCACAATCATGACCTCAGGTAACCCTCTTTCCTTTATTAAGTAGCCTACTTTGGGTATTTTATTATAATAATGAAAAATAGATTAAAATGGCATAAAAACAGAAAGCCTAAAGGTTTTATTATATATGCTCCAGGAAATCAGGAGACAGAAGGAAATATGTATAGTTGCCTTTTAGTATCCATGGAAGGGTTAGCTTAAGAACCTATTCAGACCCCCAAATCCAAGTTCCTTATATAAAAGGCACAAGTGTTTGTGTAGTGCCTACACACTCCTGTATGATTTTAATGATTTTTAGATCACCTATGATACCTAACACAAGGTAAACACTAAGCAAATTGTTATTATACTATATTGTTCAGGAAATATCAAAAAAAGATCTATCCATGTTAGATAGATAGATAGACACAAACACTGCAAACCTAACAACATTGTATTTGGCATGCACTTGGTTGAATATGTGGCTGCTGAGCCATTCTTACTGATTGGTAAGTCAACTTCATTTCTTCCTACAACACCCTGAACTTTCTATTTTCACATTTGTTTTCTCCATCATGTAGCTTGGATCTTATAGTTTACTAAATCTTTCTCTCTTTGACCAATTATTGCTAAGCATATTTCCTAACTTCTGGCTATTTCCTAGAAGGTATATCTATCCAATAGAAGTTATAATGCACTTAAGGGTACTGTGTGACTGTTAGTCTGATGGTTCTACTAAGTGTACTCTAGTTATGCAAGATGCTAGCATGAGGGTGTGCTGGGTGGGTGATGTATGGGAATGCTCTACTGTTCTAGAAGTCTAAAATTATCTCAGAATAACTTTTTAAAAAGCAATACATCAAACCTGATAATAGTTTGCCGTATATGATTAATGTTTGTACCAAACTGGTAAAAATATACTGACCCAGAGAAGACAGCAGGTGCTCATTAGAAGTGTGAATTCTTATTAATAATTAAATTCCATATGCAGAAACCAGATCGCACAGTCTGGATACGGTTTTCCAGAACGTTTCACAATAAGGAAAGTAAATATCTCAGCCAGAAACGTCTCTTTTTTCACATTTTCCTAAGAAATGTGGAGCCCCAAAGCTACAGTTTCTACATTTTCTTCCTTGTTTAATCTTCTCCTCCTTCCTTTATCAACTATATTAAGTGAAATGGAAATTATTGTGAACAAAGTTTTTTCTCTTTATGACACCTGTACTCAAGGGCTTCTATCATAAAACCATCTTACCAATGTGCCCAATGAAGCATCAAGTTGTTACCTAATGGTTTCAAAGTGGGAGGGAAGGTCTCCGGTTCAAGAACAGACACATATCCAGGCCACCAGCTCTCCTGCTTTGTTTCCTGTGCTGTTATTTCTGCAGACTGAGGCCTCTATCAGAGTTCAGAGCTAAGTAGACCATGCATTTGCTTGCCCATGGACAATCCCTGTGCTCATTTAGAGACCGGGTAATGAATCTAGACTGCAGATGCCAGGCCTCCTCTCCCCAGAATAATTTGTATAGTAGGAGGTTATTATTAACTATAGCCACTCACCTCCCATAGCCATGCCCCAGGCTGCTTTGGGCTACACAGTGTCAAGTACATCAGAAGAATCGAAAGGCCAGGTGGAAGCCTGAAGTCTAGATGATGCGCACACAGAATAGAATGGCTGCCTCTCATTCCAAAAGTTTCCCTCTCAGGTTTCAAGTGGCAACTGTGACTCCACCGCACCCTGGGAACTTGAATGTCTCTATGCTCCCTCAGAAGAAGCACCTATCTGCTCCAAGGGTCACTTGGGGCCCTAGTAGAGTCTGCCTCTTCCTGCTGAGAGTCCTGTTTCAGCCTGGAGGGGCCAGCTCATCCTTCCTAATCAGCAGCAGCGACTGTCAAGAGTCTGAGGGCACCAACTGACGAAGCAAGTCAAGAGGGAGAAACTAATCACGAAGGATCCACCCCGTGCCTGGCGGGCGCTATTTATAGACACCCACCAGACAGGAATACATTACCATCGTTCATCCAAATCTACCCTGTGATTCTCAGTTCTTGACAGTGGCAAATTCTTCTGTCACTGCTTCCATATTATTCTGGAATATTCCCTGCTTTATTTACTTTAGTTAAAACAGTGTCTCTTTCAGGAGGAGTGTTTTCTCACCTTTTTCCTGCTCCCCTAAAATCTCAGTCTGGATTTCCATAGCAAGACACAGGGGAGGATAAAACATAAGCAACACCCGAGCTGCTTTTCTGAAGTGGGTGGCTCTTCTTACTGTTCTGTGCTACCATGCAAAGGTCTGTCAGAATAATTCAGTCCATTAAACAGACAAGCAATGGCATCTTTAAGACATTCAGATAGCAAAGTGTGTGTGTGTGTGTGTGTGTGTGTGTGTGTGTGTGTGTGTGTGTGTGTGTGTGTGTTCATGTCTAGTGATAGACTTCATGTATGGAGATATATTTGTCAGTCACTCAGAAAGGTCAACCTCAAAAGATGGATCAAGTTCAAATATGTAAGTCTGGTAGGGCAACACACATCTGTAATCCTAGCACATGGAGTCTGGAGGATCAGAAATTCGTATGTCTCTCTCTCCCTCCCTCCTTCCCTCTCTCTTTCTTTATCCCTTGCCTCCCTCTCTCTCTGTGTATGTGTGTGTCATAGTGATATTTTGGGTGTGTGAAAATGTGTATTCATGTTTATGTGTACATCTGTGTGCATGTGTACACATGTTCTTGTGAAGATGAGAAGTCAGTCTCCCATCTCATTCCCTAAGTGCTGTCCATCGTAATTTATTTATTTTTATTTTATTTTAGTTTAGTTTTAGTTTTTCGAGATAGGGTTTCTCAGTGTAGTTTTGGTACCTGTCCTGTATCTTGCTCTGTAGACCAGGCTGGCCTCAAACTCACAGAGATCCGCCTGGCTCTGCCTCCCGAGTGCTGGGATTAAAGGCGTGCATCACCACTGCCTGGCACCTTAATTAATTTTTTAAATCAGGCTCTCTTAATGGGACTTGAGGCTTGCTAATTAGTCTACACTGGCTGGGCTGCAAGCATCAGGGACTCTTCTGCCTCTACTTCCCCAGCCCTGGAGCATATCACTGTGTTTGGCCTTTTATTTTCGTGTTGGGGAGCAAACCCGGGTCCTGCTTGTGTGGCGAACACTTTGCTAACTGAGCCACCTCCCCAGCTCCTATATCTCTAATTGTGAGTCAGAAGGAAATTAACTTTCCTAAGCAAAAACCTGCATCCTCTATTCGCTAGTTCCTTCCTGGGTACCATACAGTTGTGTGTGTGTGTGTGTGTGTGTGTGTGTGTGCGCGCGCGCACGCGTGTGCACACACATTCTTTTCTATCTGTGTTAAATGATCAAAAACTGTGATATTCACAATTCAAGTTCAGAACAACAGAAATTTTAGTTAATCTTGTTGATTGGAATTGTGGGGAGAAATTACTCAGCAGTTAAGAGAAACTGAAGAAGACCAGAGTTAAGTGCCTAGCACCTAAGTGAGGGGAGAGACGAGGGCTCACAATCTCCTGTAATTCCAGCATCAAGGGACCCAATGCCCTCTTCTGGTCTCCTTGGATGCACATGCACACACACACACACACACACACACACACACACACACACACACACACTTATAAAAGAGAAATTTTACATTTTCAGAAAATTAGTATAATATCTTAGATCACTTGTCAGGTACTTAAAACAGTTGCTTTCTTTGGTCCCAGCACCTAGCATGCTTCCCAGGAGTTCTGCCTGAGTTTCCTTAGTCAATGGGTTTTCTGTGTTCCTTCTCTAGTTGCTTTTCTAGTGAAGGTCCTAAATCAGAGAGAATCAAATGGCTATTCATCTTCATCTGATAAGGCTCAGCTCCCTGTTTGATCTGTTTCTCAAGAGGATTAGCAACTGTATTCCTATTTGCATAAATCTCCGATTCCATCAAAAATTGAAAAAATTCTTGTACCCAAAGATACCATTCACCTCAGGCAGATAAAAGGCTGTATCCATAGCCTTTGCTGTGTTTTTGAACACAGCGTTTCTAAAGTATTATTCTTCTGAACACATTCATCTCGGGCACATCTCTGCTGCAAACAGTGTGAGAAGTCACTGACAGTGTTAAAAGACTTCATAGAACAGCTTTCTAGAAACAAGTAGGTGTGGTGCTTGGGTTTCTTGTTGCCCTTTCTCAGGTCCCTCAATTATCACAAAACCTCCCCACTCTCCTCTAGTGGTGACCTCATCCACCCTTTGATGCTGGTCTGGCAAGTTCTGCACATCCCTCTTTTACAGCAGAGGAAGCTGTGGGAAGCCACAGAAATTTCACTTAGATAAGCCTGGGACATGAAATGCAGAAGCTGTGTGTGCCCTCCCTTATACTGAGGTTAACTTTGACTTTTTCTTGAGATTCTCAGGAAGGTCAACCATACGGGATGGATTAAGGTTCCAGTGCGTAGGCCTGGTGTGCTGACACATGCCTGTAATCCCAGCACCTGAGGGGTGGAGGCAAGAGGATCAAGAGTTTAAGATCATTCTTGGCTATAGAAGACCTTTTCTCCAAAAGCTGAAATATATTTAAAAAAAAAATAAGAAGGGAGAAAAAAGAAAAGACTGGTTCAAATCTACAAAGATGTGGATTTCTGCAGACTTCCTTTACTGTAGAAATGGAATGCCATAGTGTAATGGCCAAGTCTCCTCACATCTTATCCAGGTTTTCTGCAGTTGTCTAGGGACAGAAGTCTGACTGTGGAGACTAGTAATGGGCAAGGGACAAACAGCTAGGTCACCTGTCCCCGTGGGTTCCAGGCCATTTCTGCACACTTTCTGATTTCTTCAGTTTTTTGTTACTCTTTCTGGAAGCGTGAACCACATAACCAAAGTATCCATGGTGTCTCAGAAACACTTTCCCCTGCGGGCATCCTCGAGATTACTGTTCCTCCATTAACTCCATCTTTACTCCATGCATACGTTCAGAACGGTTTAGGACAGAGCTGGGTAGCAAGCAAGAGAAAGCACATAATGCATCAAAAAGCTCATAATGCATCAGGGACACAAACACTGTCTATGAAGAAGGCAAAGAGATGGTTTCTATCCAGCTACAACTTCTATAATTTCCAGCCAGAATAGAAAATTGTGACTATTGCTCTTGTTGTTCCTATGCATTCTCCCCGCTTCTCTCCTTCCCTCCCTCCCTCCCTCCTTCTCTCTTTTGCTCTCCCTTTCCCTCCCTCTATGTGTTCACCTGTGGCTATATCAACTTTAGCTATCTTCCTTTATCATTCTCTACCTTATTTCTTGAGACAGAGTCTCTCACTGGACATGAAGTTGTCATTTAGGCATGAATGTCTGTCTGTCTGCCTGTCTCTGCACACATAATACTGGGGTTACAGGCTCACTTCACTCCACTTGCTGTTTATGTGGGTGCTGGGATTCCAACTCAGATCTTCACGCTTTCCCAGCAGGCACTTTTTCCAGAGCCTTTCCCCAGCCCTGCTTTGTTCTTTTTAGACTGGCTATTGCTGTGTAGCCCAAGCTGACCTTCAACTACTGAGTTGTGTGGCAATACGCATGTGCCACTATGTCCAGATGTAGAGAGTTGACTTTTGATAAGAATTTCAATATGTTTGGATATACAATGATTCTCTATGGGACATGGGGTTCACCAACATATTAGTCACCCCTCCACACTCAGGACAGACTGACCGAGCTGAGTCATGTTAGGCTAAAAGGTCTAATTTCTGTTAACACATTCGTACTGCATAGAAATCTCTAGGACATACACCAGGAACTGCACTTTTTACTGCCTGTTATTTAAATCACCATAGTTACAGATCATAATGTACTTTAGGTGTTGTTTTTCAATAACTATAACATTTTTATTTATAAAAACAATTAAACAATTAAATAATCAAACAATTAAGTTTTCTAGTACTTTTTTAACATATGGTACTTTGTACAACATTTTCCTCTATGAAGAGAGACTAAACAAAATTTACATAAGCATCTAGATTTGCTTCTTTTCCCATGGGCGGCATCAACTCTGCAGGCTCTTGTAGGAAACTTTTTCTTTCCACTCGCTGGAGTACAGGTAGGTCCATGCTGCTTCATATCCCCTGACAACCCTTTGGGGGGATCTTTACGAGGTGCTCTCCTTGCACCCCCATGGGAAGGGCTGGATGGATTTGTCTCTGGTTCTGGAGATCCTTCATTATTGTCGTCTGGTATCTGGTCTCTCATCACCGACTGAAGAAAGTCTTCATACTTCACTTTTGCTTCTGGATTGATGATGTTGTATGCTCTAAACTAACTGAAAAGTCCACAGTTCATAAGGGACAGCACTACATTTTTGTCCATTTCATTGTTTTCCTTAGAATGGAAGAACACGAAAGGTATTGAACCGCACTGTCAACGCCTTTTATGTGGGCATTGTATTCCTGATGCAGGTAGATTTTACAAGATTCTCTCCTGTTTTTCTAATTTTTTTTTCTGTTGCCAAGACAGAAGTGCCATGAATCATGATATCATTCAAACGACGGGCTTGTCTTTCCATGCTAGGAGAAGACTATCACCTTTTCTGGAAAATATTATATCACCTTTCTTCATTCTTGATGTTTTCATTTTCAGATTTGGCGATAACCTCTACTCTCTCTAACAGTCCCACAGACTCCAGGTTTGTTCTGCAGCAGCAATTCAGCAGCAGAGGTAGCACTGTAATAATTATCCTGGTAGATATGGTGCCATGTGCCAAGACAGGGTCCGAGGACTGAAGGAACAGTTTACTGCAGCTTCTCTCCTTCAGCAGTATGTACCTCCATGTTAAAGACAGAGCCGCTGTTATTCTCACACACCATCCAAACAAGTAACCGTATTTT